GACGACGAGTGCAAAGCTGACAAACGCCAGGAAGCGGTTCCGAAGCGGAGAAACGCGAAAAAGAAAAGACGATGAATAAAATCTAAAGTCCTTTATTGTAAAACGCGTGCAAAGCTGTGTTGGTCTGCAGTTCGGGCTCGAGGCGCGAGAGGGCGACACTCGCCGTCTGCGGGAACAGCGCGCAACACATGGGCGTCGTGAACGTCAGGCTGTGGGGGCGAGAGGGGGGTTAGAAATGGCGATCAGTGGTCACGGCTTTGGTTCGTACAAAAGGCCGCAGAGGCCGACCTGGAGCGGCGCCGCGATCCACGGCATGCGCCGAAGAACGCCGCGCTTCTCCAACGAGTTCATCAAAATGGGCGGAAGAGTCATTCCGGGCGCGGCCATCGCGATGCGCGAGACGACCACTTGGGCGATGGCGAGTTTGGCCGCGATCCTGGATTTGCCGATTTCCACGCCGTTCTCGTCGCAAACCACGAGACCGTCCTTCAGCTCTCTGCGAGAACACTTCGTTAGTTCGGTTCTGATTTAGTATTTACTCACGTGCTCCTCATGAGCGGAATGTTGACGCAATTGGCCGCCGCCACTAGAGGGAGGCACAGTACATTATTGGCGATCACTGATAACTGAGAGCTCACCGGCGAGGAATGGGACGAAGCGGCCGACGAGCGGCGGCGCCTTCTTCGCCAAGTGGTTGAGCGAGAGAGCGGTGACGAGAGCGCCGGAAGTGGCCAACGAGTACGCGGTCAGCAGTTGGCTGCGGGAGAGAGGCGTTAGGCGGGCGGTGGACGGGGAAGGGGCTCACGTGAGGGGGAGGGGCGCGTTGCCGCTGCGGTTGGTGTAGTTGACGACGGCGTTGAACGACTGGTTGAACCATTGCCAGAAGATCGCGGCCGAGTTGGACTTGTAGTACGTGAGCATGCCTTTAATGGGAGCAAGGTCAGCGATCACGTGACAGCGCAACACTACTCACAGCCGGTGATGGCCATGTTCATGGGCACCTGCGCAGACATGCGGCCGAAGATGATCATCTTTTGTCCGGTCTCGGGATGGAAGGCCGAGTCGTAGACTGCGGGAGAAAGAGACATGAGAGAGAGAGAGAGACAGGGATTGTGTTCACGAACTCTGTTTGTGGCGCCAGAGCTCCGTTTCGGACATTCCGTCGATTTGTTCGCCGTTTCTAATGAACACAAGAAATGAGTTCTTTTAATTGATCCCA